CCCCCTGTGCTTCCCCAAATGTAAGGCACTTTCCACCCCAGGCTGACACATGCCACTGGCAGTCCTTGCTCTAGTTTCCCTGGCCCCAGGACACTTGGGCAGAGCCGACTAGCCCTGTCTCCAGGCCTGGCTCCCCACCCTGGGCTCTGCAGCACAGGAGGGCAGCTGTGATGCGCGGAGCAGACAGGTGGTGATTCTTGGCTGATGAGGAGGAAAAGAGGCGTGACTGGAAAGGGGGACATGGAGATCCGCAGCAGTTTCTCTTCCCTCTGTTGAGTCCTAGCTCTGGTTTAGTCCCGTTTAACTTCCTGGTCCAATTTTACCCATGTATCCCACTAAGAAAACACTGAAGGATCGTTTTCTAAGATTGGGAGGGTTTGAGAAAGACAAACTTAGTGAGTTTTTTCCTCCTTTGATTAAAAAAAAATAGGATGCTAATAGGACAAAAATTTCACTGTTATTTGAGGTGTAAAATGAGAATCTCTGGTTAAAAAGAAAAAAAGAAAGAGAAATGGAATAATGTCTACACTCATTTTTAAGATAGTAGACATTTGAGCGCATTGTACTATTAAAAAGAGTTGTGATAGGGTGGCGCTTGGTTTTGACACATTCTTAAGAGGGGCTGGGATGGCATCTTCAAAGGACGATGAATTGGCAAATGTGTGGGTCCACTTGTTGAAAAACAGTAAAAATAGGTTGGGAAGAACTAAGAAGCCAGAAACTTAACAGCAAAAGCAGAAAAAGTGGCAAAATTTTTCTATGGCTGTATGTTTGACTATTACTAGATTTGATAAGAGATGCACATTCTTTCTTACCATAGTCCTTGCTTTCCTATCTTAAAGGACTCATTAAAATTCCGGAATATATATATTTTTTTATATCAGAAAAACCTCAATCATTTTTATTGTTCTTGGTTTAAAAAATTATTGTTTTTTTTTTAAAGCTTTTATTTATTTATTTGACAGAGAGATCACAAGTAGGCAGAGAGGGAGGCAGAGAGAGAGAGAGAGAGAGAGAGAGAAGGAAGCAGGCTCCCTGCTGAGCAGAGAACCCAATGCGGAACTCGATCCCAGGACCCCAAAATCATGACCTGAGCCGAAGGCAGAGGCCCAACCCACTGAACCACCCAGGCGTCCCCAAAATTATTCTTAATGCAATAAACAGCATGACTGATACTTAAATAAAGAAGATACAGCACATTCAACTGAAGGAGTATAAAGAAGTCTTGTTCATTCAAGCTATTTGATTACATTACTAACAAATATTATTTTAGATAGTGTCTAGCCTCAACAAACTAACCAAGAGATTATATATATTAAATATACATTTCTAAATGTTATTGTAAAACATCCTGAAGGCAAGAACATTTTTTTTCCTCTTTTACAGACTGGCTAACACCTATCACAAGAACCGCCAGGAGTCCACCTAACAACGCCCAGAGAAGACACTGTGTTCTAATGAAACGACAGACTGTAATGGCCATGTTCAGGATAATCGAGAAACACAAGAAACAAGGTTTAGAAAATTACTGAATAAGGAAGCATAAGTTAACAACAGCCTCTGATGTATTTACATCTCTTCACACCAGAGCAAGGAAGTAAATGCTGTTGAAACAGATCCTGACAACGTGTTACCCTGTTGTACTTCTGGAAGGATCAAGGAGAATGATTCATCAGAACACCCTGAAGACTTCAATCACACACATTCTCCTGATTGCCATGTTTTGACATTTTTGTTTCAAAGTACAACACGAAGAACGGTCTCACCTTTAAATATCTCATACCCTCAACGGCTGCTCTGTGAGGAATGTGACTTGTACTTCTGGCAAGTAAACAGTAAGAGAACAGAATTCTACTTTTTACCTGAACTGGAGAGTAGCAGCTTATTTTTTAATCTGTTACCATCAATATCTTACAAAAGGCTGAATTATTGGGTTGTTTTCCTATCCATGGGAATACCATTTTTCTAGAAATTCTCTAATGGAGGCGGAAGAGAATGGACTCCCTCCTCCACCTCTCAGGCCTGAGGAGCTACTAAAATGATCAGCCTGAGTGAGAAGCTGTGAGGTTTTGGAAAACCTGGATCGATTCATCAGGCACAGTCAGCTTGTTTCTTTCCAAGGCATTTATGGTGGCCTAATCCAGGGTGGCAGCGGAAGCCCCGCCCTGACCGGGTGCCCTGGGTCTGAGGGACCCTGGCATAGTCTGGGGACAGAGGAAGTGACAGCCTGGACATTGTGACCAGCTACAAAATGCTGCCCTTTGTCTGATAAGAAAGCAACATGTGGGGGTGCCTAGGTGGCTCAGTGGGTTAAAGCCTCTGCCTTCGGCTCAGGTCATGATTCCAGGGTCCTGAGATCGAGCCCCACATCGGGCTCTCTGCTCAGCAGGGAGCCTGCTTCCTCCTCTCTCTCTGCCTGCTTCTCTGCTACTTGTGATCTCTGTCAAATAAATAAATAAAATCTTAAAAAAAAAAAAAAGCAACATGTGCAGAAGGAAATTTAGAAGTGCTGTTCCTGCAATGCCCTGAACTACTCTCACAGATGTTTTTAACCTTCTAGTTTGAAATAATTCAAACTTACAGAGAAGTTTCAAGAACAATAGAAAGAGCCCAATTACTCTTCATCCAGATCACTGTTACTCTGCTGCAGCCGCTTTCCGTCTCTACACACGCTCCCTTACTCCTTCCCGCAACAGGTGGGATGAGGCTGCGCACACCATGCCCCTTTACCCCTTGGTACCCGTAGGTGTACTTTCCAGTAAGAATATTCTCTTTCCTAACCACAGTCTGCAGAGATGCCATGTCCTTGACACTTAACATCGATACACGTGTATGGTCTAATCCACAGTGCGGCTGCACGGACGGACTCTCACATGTCCATTCACCAAAAACGTTTCCAGGGACAGAGCTCAGCTCGGGATCACCCCTGACCTGTCGTTAATGGGCCCCTTAGGCTCTAATCTGGAACAGCTATGACCTCAGTACTGTTGAAGAACACGGGTCAGGTATTTTACATACTATCCTTCAAATCGGGTTTATCTGCTCTTTCTTTATGATCGAAGTTTTGGGATTTTCTCTTTTAACACATAACTGATGTGTCCCTTCAGGGCACGCCCACAATGCGTCTTGGGTCCATTATTGGTCTTCTGATTCTGATAACTTGGCTAAGCTGGTGTCCGATTTCTCCACTGTACAGTTAACTGTTTTCCTCTGGTAAGTAATAAGCAACTTGTGGGGAGATACTTTGAGATTATATAAACAGCTTGCTCTTCTTCGTGTATTAATGATTTGTACTGATTTTTTGCTCTGATAATGCAAAACTATCATTTTCTACTACCATCCATCATCCCTTATTACATTCCTTTCCTTTGTGTGTGTGTGTATATCCATATATTTCCACATATCAGGATGAACTCATAGATTCCCCCCTGTCCGGCAGATTATATTAAGTACCATCCTTATTTATTTTTAAAGGATTTATTTATTTTTTAGAGAGAGAGAAAGACAGCGTGTGGGGGGGAAGTGGAGAGGCAGAGGTAGAGGGAGAGACAGTCTCTCTTTTTTTTTTAAGATTGTATTTTTTTATTTGACAGAGAGAGACAGAGAGAGAGGGAACAGAAGCAGGGGGAGTGGGAGAGGGAGAGGGAGAAGCAGGCTTCCTGCCAAGCAGGGAGCCCAATGCAGAGCTTAATCCCAGGACCCTGGGATCATGACCTGAGACAAGGGCAGACACTTAATGACTGAGTCACTCAGGCACCCAAGGGAGAGACAGTCTTAAGCAGACTCTGTGCTTAGTGGAAAGCCTGATGTGGGGCTCGATCTCACAACCCTAGGATCATGACCTGAGCCAAAACCAAAAGTTGCTTAACCGACTGTACTAGCTAGGCGCCCCCGTCCTTATGTATTTTGATACCCAAATCTTATGTGCCCAATTTGGTCAGTGGGACCCCCTCAAGCTGACTCTGGTGTCCTTGGGGCCTGTTTCCTTGGTTCTGGAGCACTTCCTTAATTCCTTGCATGGTGGTCCAGGTCATCTGTTTCCTTCACAACCCTGGGCCTGCATCCCACCATTTCATTTCTCTAGAGGCTCACTTCTGTCCATGGGCCAACATATTTAGAAACTAGATCTGGGCACTAAGTGCGGTCAGTGCTAATGGGATGGCATTGCTTCTGATCGCTTTAGGTTCACAGACTAAGACACATGTATGCCCGCCCCCTCACAGACTTAGTAAATCATGAGTTTATGCTGATACCTCTAATTCCAACCCAACCCCATAGGGTTCTTCCTTGCTCTCCGCTGTTCTGAATTTGTATTTTCCTTCTGCTACAGTAAGATCAACCTATTTCCTCACTTGCTCAAATCTACAATAAATACAACATAATTTCAGAATTGCTATACTCATACTACTGTGAACATAAACCTAGAAAGAGCTTTAGATTTCTTTGCAATTCTTTTTTTTTAACTTTAGACTGAGGGTATATTATGTTCAAAAGTCACTGAAATTAATTTTTCCCTCTCTCCTATGATTATGTTATTCACTTAAAATACAGTTGGGTTATTTATTCGTTTCTTTTTAGTTTAGGGTTGTCCCTATTGTTGATTTGCTTTTTGAATATGTAAAACATTAACCTGATTCCTAAGTCAAGACCATACAAAATCCATACCCAGAGAAGCACCACTCCTTCCCTGTCCTGTCTTGTTCTCTCCTAGCCCTTAGGGAGAACAAACGTCAGTAGTTTCCGGTATGTATAAAGTATTATAGATTTCAAAATAAGTGATCACAATTTTTTTTTTTCAAATCACACCTTCCTCAAACTTGTAATTCCCACAGTAGCCAAAAAAGGCCCAAGTGTCTATCACTGTTACCCTTAGCAGCTTAACTGTCATCTTTATATGCTCATGTTTGTATGTATTTATATGCTTGATTTATGTCTCGTTCAGCAAAAAGGCTTCAAGTGGGAAACAGAGGTTTAGGGGAAGGACTGGTGTTACTGATTACCTGTTCCTCAGAAACCTCGAGAGGAGGAGATGCTTGCTGCTCAGACCGCCGACCGTCCTGATAGTTTATATTCCGTCGCTGACGTAAGGGAGGGAAGAGACGATTCCAGTTGATCATTCCTCCCTAAAAACACGGTGATGAGACACAGAAGGAAAACTGGCTGAATCTTTCTCTTGCAATGAAGTCATACCCATAGATTGGGACAATATCATACTGCTCTGCTGAATGCAAGCAATCCAAAGCCTTAAGCGTCACACTGCCCTCCGGCCGACAGGATGACCCTGGCAGCCTGCGGGAGGAGCCCGGAGAGAAAGAAGGTAATGGCACTGCCAGAGGTATTTGTGCAACGTGGCTCTGGAAGACAACGGAGGACACACACAGATGTTCCTAACCTCAGCCCCACCGACCCCGTCCCACCTCCTCTGGCCCCTAGGAGCTTGGGGCTCTGCCGGACGGGACAGGGAAGATGACACAGAGAGAAGGCTGAGTCACTGCTGGCCACCAGGAACCAGGCACCTCCACAGCCGCTCTTTAAAACGCTCCTCCTCTTCTTTTCCTCCTCTCCCCCCTCCTTCTCCCTTTCTTCCTTCTTCTTTTAGTTAAGTGAGTTCTGAGCATGCTTACTAGAGGGAGTTTGCGGGTGGAGATAAAACCCAGCTGGAGGGATGGGGTAGAGCATGTGAAGGCAAAGCCACACACAGGGACAAAAGGTTTGGGAGTAGGGAGGGATCAGAACCAGCCTCCTGAGTAGCTCTATGGGTGACTCAGATCGATGGCAAAGTCATTTCTTGTTTATTCTATGTCATCAATGAAGAAAAAAAGCCACTATGTGATGAAAAGTGCACACTGCAGAATGCTTTTTAAAAATTCATGTTTTTAGCTATCTGCCAATATTTTAGTTTATCAATTTAAATCTCTATTTCTAGATTTAGGAAAATTGCAGACTAAGACAACATACAATTTTTCCTATTATGAATATCTAGAAATAGTAAACAAAATAAGAAAAACATTTCACTTGCATAGCTGAGCACAAAAGGAAGAAAGGGAGAACCCAAGGTGCCAGAAACAAACTCTGGAAAACGTAACAGTGAGCAAGGGTGGGGGGACAGGGAGCACGCCCTGCTAACATACGGCCATCCGTTCGGGTTCATGAAAGAGCTCCGACTCTCAGCTCACTACCTACATAAAGGCACAAGCCTCAAATGGCAACACCTTCAGTGAGAGAGAAGATGAGAAAAAAATCCAAAAGGCGTGCGGAGGGAGCCTAGCCTGCCTGAGAATTCAGAAATGAGAAATCTGAGGTTGGAGTTTCATAAATATGTGTTACCAGTTTACGAAGTTACCAGTTATGAAGTACCAGTTATGAAGTTACCAGTTCATTACCAGTTATGAATTTATGAAGTTACATAAATATGTGTTTTCAGAGCCCATCAAAAGTTACGTAAGAACTGGTTCTGGGATAGTGCTGTGCACACCCCAGGAGCCAAGCAGAAGCAGATGTAAGACTACACTTGAGGCCCACTCTCTCACCCCGGGATTACACGGGACTTACAGGTAAAACTCCGACTGGGAGTCACTTAGAATCCAAAATTCAAAACCCACGAGGAAAAAACCCATCACAACTGAGATTCAGTATGTGCAAAAAATAGGAGGATTAGATCCCCAAGAACCCATTTACTTGTTTGAGAGAAAGAGCACTCGCACAAGTGCGAGCATGAATGGGGGAGAACAGAGGGAGAAGCGGGCTCTCTGCCGAGCAGAGAGCCCGACATGGGGCTCCATCCCAGGGCGCTGCGATCGGGACCTCAGCCGAAGGCAGATGTTTAACTGACTGAGTCACCCAGGCATCCCCTGAAACTAAATTTATAACAATCTGAAAACAACTATAATTTCAGAAGTTTTAAAATGACTAAGATATAGAAGAAAGACTTTAAAAAAAAAGGTAAGATATTACTAAAAAAAGATTTGAAAAAAATTAGGGAAATTAAAAAGAGAGACATTATACAAAGTTGTTTTAGACGCTGGTACAAAGAAATTCAAATACGCTAGTGATAATAATACACATACATGGACAACTTCTCTATTTTGAAATGTCTCCTACCCACCCCCAACAAGCCTAAAACATCAGTAAAAACACAGACAACTTGATGGAAAAAGACGAAAAAAGAAGTATCAGAGAAGTACTAACAGAAGAAAGCTGACGTCATGTCACTATATCCCTGTCAAATAAATTAGGCCTCAAGGGCAAAACAGGCATTCCTGGAGATAAAGTCACCGTGATGCGTCAGTATTATTATTATTTTTTTAAAAATATTTCATGTATAGGGGTGCCTGGGTGGCTCAGTGCGTTAAAGCCTCTGCCTTCAGCTCAGGTCATGATCTCAGGGTCCTGGGATCAAGTCCTGCATCGGGCTCTCTGCTCGGCGGGGAGCCTGCTTCCTCCTCTCTCTCTCTGCCTGCCTCTCTGCCTACTTGTGATCTCTGTCAAATGAATAAATAAAATCTTTAAAAAATATATTTTATTTATTGATTTGAGAAAGAGAGAGGGAAAGAGAGCAAGTGAGCGGGGTGGGGGGAGGAGCAGAGGGAGAGGGACAGCAGACTCCATGCTGACCATGCCGAGCCCAGCTTGGGGCTCAATCCCACAACCCCGAGACCACAACTGAGCCAAAACCAAGAGCCAGATGCCTAACCAACTGAGCCGCTTGAGCACCCCACATAAGTATTATGTTTATAAACACAGTGGTGCCAAACTACACAACACAAAAATTAAAAGAACTAATAGAGGAGAGAAACCACCCAGACATGTATTTAATTTTTAGCATCTACTGATAGGTCAAGGAGACAAAAATTAATAATACAGAACATAAAAAGTTATATAAGTGGGTGTATACGGGTGGTACTCAGTATTTAGAGTGAAACAGACTGCATACTTTTTATTATATATAAAATATTTATAAAAGTGACTGCACACTTAAGTGCTATATGAAATGTCCACAAACAGCAAAATGTAAATACTTCACAGACTGTATTTTCTGACTGCAATGCAATTAAATTTGAAATCAATATCAAAATTAAAAATAATGTAAAACAAACAAAAAATTCACATACGGGAAATCAAAAATGGAAAATATCATAATGAATATTAGAATATAGCTAAAAGTGGATAAAATTGAGGGGCTCCTGGGTGGCGCAGTTGGTTAAGCATCCGACCATCCTCCTCAGGTCATAGTTTTGGGGCCGTGAGACAGAGCCCACATTAGGCTCCCCACTTAGCACGGAGTCTGCCTGAGATTCTCCATCTCCCTTTCTCCCTCTGCCCCGCTCTCCACTCGTGTGTTCATGCACGTGCACACTCTCTCTCTCTCTCTCTAATAAATAAATAAAATCTTTTTAAAAAAGTGAATAAAATTGAGACTACTACTTATCAAAGGTGGTGAGATATAACTAAACAGTTGATATAATTTTAAAATATTGAGCTTAAAAAAAATGAAGACTGACAAAGAGTTAAATATATTCAGTAAGTTAAAGAAAGTAATAATAATCTAAAGAAATTAGAAAGAATGAGAGCAGATGCTAATTGAGAAAGCCAGGAGCATATGTTAGTAAAGTGGAAAATAAAGACACAATAGAAGGAATCAATAAAATCCAATGTTGTTTTTCTTTAAAAAGATTTTTAGTTTAGAGAAAGAGAGAGAGAGCACGAGCGATGGGGAGGAGGAGAGGGAGAGACTGTGCTGAGCACAGAGCCCAACGTGGGGCTCGATCCCACGACCCTGAGATTGTGACCTTAGCGGACATCAAGAGTCAGACCCTCAACCAACTGAGCCATCCAGGCGCCCCGAAAGTTGGTTGTTTGAGAAGTCAAGTAAAATGGAAAGCCTGGCAACTGTGATGAGAAGACAAAGAAAGGATCATAAATAGTATTAGGAATAATACAAGAGATATCATGGCAGACAGTAAAAAAAATACAATACTTTATTCATACCAATAGGTTTGATGAAACAGATTATTTTCTAGGAAAATGTATTTACTACAACTTATTCAAGAAGAAACAAAAATTGGTAATCATTTTTGAAAACTGTTCAGGAGCATCTACTAAAGCTGCACACATGTGTCTACCTCTGCGACTCTGCTCCCAGACAACAGAATGCAAACGCACGTCCACCGAAAGGCATGACTAGAATGTTCTCAGTGCCACCACTTGTAATAGGCAAAGACTGGAAACTACCCAAAGGTGCACGAAGTCAGATGGATAAATTATGGTGGAATCACATAATAAAAAATTATACAGCAGTTAAAATGAACAAACTACAATTGTATGTAGCAATATAAATGAACCTCTCAAATATAATGTTAAATAAAACACAAGAAAGTACATTCATATAATTACTTTTATAAATGTTTACTTCTATGTATACTTCCAAAAAAAAGCTGCAAAAAGAAATAGAAAACTGGACTAATTTTACCCATTAATGTAACTGAAATAATACTGAAGAAAATCTACCCACCAAAAGTCTATAGGAGAAGTCTACATAACCTTTAAGGACATACTATCTTACAGACATTGTTCTCAAGAAGAGAAAAAAGAGGAATAGCTCCCCACTTCACCTTCTGAAGCTATATAACACTGCTTCCCAAACCAGACAAGGCCATTACCAGAAAGAAAAATTAAGACAATTTGTTTTTCCTTTATGGACAGATAAAATAATCCTAAGTAAAATATTAGTAAACTCAACCCAACGTTTAAAAAATAATCATCTTATCTGAAATAATGTACTACATTAGGATTTATCTCAGAAATCTCAGAAAATACAGTACTGTAATTCACACATTAACGGATTGAGTGCCTGTTCCACCTCTTACATTCAATACAAGTCATAGGATAAGGAGGCTCACACTAACCAACTATGAAAGAAAATGCAGAAGGATGAGAAGAAAAACAAAACTGCCATTATTTACACGTAACTCTCTTAGAAAAAGAGAATAAGAGAGTAAGAGACACAGAAGTATCAGTTAACAGTCTTCCACTGTGATCACTTAGAAAATTCAAGTGTAAAACATAACTATTTACCAATAGAAATAAAAACTACTAAGTACTTAGGAATTAAATCTAACAAAAG